TTTTTCCAGCTGCCGAGAACGGAAGACGCAAGGGCACCACCACCGCTAGTCGTTCGGTCGACTTGGACCGCCGCCAGGTATGTGCTTTTTTTCTTTTCTTTGTAACCGCCTCCTGTGTCGCCGTTTAGAGAGCAAAGACGCGTACCATTGCCAAAACCTCCTCGGCCTCGACAGCACATGGTCAGCGCAAACCAACGCGGCGAGTAGGCACGTTCTCAGCCCATTCGGAGGGCAGCGCCAACCAGGACCCCAAGTTCCTCCTTTTTAAGGGAAATGGTAGGCAATGTTTTGCGCTTCATACCAACCTTTGCCGCCATTCTCGGCGCCTGTATACAGTACGGCCCAGAATTCGTGTAGCATGTCCACATATGCGAAAGGTTGATGCTCTTTCGCAAATCGACATTAAGAAAGGTTGTAATACTAATTATCATGTAGCCTATTCTGAAGCCATTTCAGTCACGATAGCATGCCGGCTTTTTAGCGAGCTTCATTTTGACCGTTAACAAAACGTATGTACTTTAAAAAGTGGCTAATTAAGTAGTATGCATTTTTATCATTGATTTTGACTGCCTTTATAAATTCAAAATATACTTTATGGAAAACATGCACGAGAAAATTATTTTTTGTACTTGTTTGATTGCAAATTATGTTCACAGAAAACATGGACGAAAAAATTGTTTCTTGTACATGTATGATAGCAAATTACGCCTTCTTTAAATTCTGGAAAACATAAACGAAAAAATTATTTCTTGTTCTCGATTGGTAGCAAACTACGCCTTCTTTAAATTTTATACTTAAAGAAATCGTATCCTTTGGTTTTATAAAAATGTCTAATTATGCGCTTTTTTACAATTGTGATGTGTTCATTCATTATATATCACATCCGTCAATTTATTAATGCTGTCTATAATGTATACAGCACCTTCCACATCTGTTGCAATATTTTATGAGAACTGTGTGACTTCTTCCTGAAACTGTAGGCAAAAGCGTACTTTTTCTTTAACAGGATGTACATGGCGTGCAGTTTCTAACACTTTGAATTCAAGTGTAGCAGTCAGAAGGTTTCAAAATTATTTGGCAAAGCAAGGAGCCCGTGGTGCCGTGGTAGAGTATTGAACTCAATGACCATAGGTCCCGGGTTCAAATCTCGGGGGTTCCAACCCTTGAAATTGGGTATGACTGGCTGATGACGGATAACAAGCCAGAAATGGCCATTCCGGTCTCCCTTTGCTCTGTCGGATCTGCTTCTTCAATACATAAACTTTTTAAAAACCGGGATATACCCTTTCTTTAAGGATAAGGCGTAGTTTGCTACTAAACGTGTACAAGAAATAGTTTTTTCGCGTATGATTTCATACAATATATATGAATTTATAAAGGCTGTCGAAATCAATGATGAAAATGCATACTAGTTAAGTAGCCACTTTTTACAGTACATACTTTTTGTACCCTATCGTGACTGAAATTGTTAGGGTATTAGCCGGACTAAGTGCTAACAACATTTTGAGGCTTTCCTAAGGCATCGAGGCTAGCTAAATGTCTTTGTTTGTTAGCTCTGACCGCATTCAGGCGATGACTGTCCACACACAATGACCTTAGCCCGCACGCACGCAAGCACGTACACGAACCTACGCAAGGCACAACTGTTCGCTGTTTCTCGAGGGTCAACTGGTCGCGTG